ATAAATCTTTAAAAAAAAAAAAACTGTCCAGTCAGTCAATCTTAGTTGATAGAAATTATGTCTCATGAATATCCTTGGTTCACAAGAATGTGTTATCCTGCCCTGGCCTTTATCCCTAATGTGTAATAGAAGAGATTTGTCTATAATGTGTCCAATTGAGGTATTAATGATCATTTGGTTTCTCAGTCAAGAAAAAACTTTAGTGGTAACATTTGATTACTTCTGAAAATTTGAGACATCTGCACCTCTGATAAGATTCAAGAAGCATTGACAGGAAATATCAAGAGACTCCACTTCCCTCCCTGCCTCTGACTGACTCAACTTCTTGCTGTTTTTGTTTCTGTAAAATAAGGAAATAGGACAAGATGAGGATGATGTTTTCTTAAAATAGCTAATTAGGTGAAATGCCATAAAGGCTGCCACTTAAACCCGAGAATGGTGTCACACTTAGACCTACAGAGGAAGGGCCCAGAGATGCCTGACTTGAGTCTTGAAGGACAGGGAGCAATGCAAGCTGCTGAAGACTGAAGTGATGGAGAGAACAAAAAGGCATGTTATTGAATCATCATTCTATTTGGCTGACTAGGAGATGCCATATGTTTCAGCATCTCAAGCCCAGAGGAGATCTCTCTAAACTCAGATTCTAACATATTCGTTACATCCGGCTTCTGGAGCCACATCAAGGAAGGTCACAACGCCCAGCAACTTCACAGAACACAGTGGCCTTTCTCAGAGGAGATTTCTTTTCCTTTTTCATCCAAGTACCAAGGTCACAGCTAAGTCTTGAAAAAGACATCACTGCTGTAGGTCATGGATGCTGTGATGACAATTACATGAGCAACCAAGGCGAACACCAGCAAGAGTGTGAGCAAATGATCATTCCAGGGCTCTCATCAAGGTTGATGAGAGGTGAGGTAACTCTGACCTCAAAAACTTTTGGCAGTGGGATCGGATGCCACACTTACACCTCAGTCATTTTCATGTGGCTACACCATCCAAATACCCACAATCGATTCTGAAGTAGCCATGCAGTCTCAATAAGGATTCCCAAGTAAGCCCCAGTTTCCCCACAATTCTGTCTGTACTGATGTCAGAAATAGAATGCATTAGTGCATACACTAAATCTTAGTGCAAACCAATAGTGGACCAGTACTTTTCTGTACACTGGGAAGTAGCCATGAACAAATGAGACAAAAAGTCTGTCTTTGTGCAACTGCACCCTAGCATATCACCTCTGTATGAAGAAAAGTGTAAAGACTCTACCCAAAGGCACATAATGCTGTTCTGAACAGTCCCCCAGGGACAATTTCTGAAAGAGAGTAAATCACATGTGCCAGCCTTCCTCCCAAGCCCTTGCCCTTACATCTTCATCCTTGGGTCAGTTATACAAGATAAAGGAAAGCCATGACAACCTGATACTTTTCCCTTAGTTATGCTTCATTATTTCTCTTTATCAAGCCAAAACTCCTACTGCCTCACAGCAGATACATATCAACTCTACAAAACATTCAAAACCTTTGACCCACCTCTGGTTAATGTCCTAACTTCTGAAAAGAATTTGGGCAAAAAATAGTGCATCACAGTTTGACTTAACCTAGGTCTCCCACACCCTCCCAAAAGGCAGATTAAATATCAAACTCTAAATCACTGTTTATATGTGAAACAGCAAGTCATTAAGATGATATTTACAAAGATTCTATGATAATGAGAAAGTATTTTTAAATATTAAGTAGTCAAGCAGCAGAAAAGCCTATATATATATATATATTCAATATAAGAAGACTTTGGAAAAAAATCTCCTAAGAAAAATAATAGGCATGCTCCAAAATATAACTGTTACTATCCTTAGATGTTAAAACACCTAAAGACACAAAGAGTGTTATAGATATTTTTCTACATTTTATATTTTTCCCTATAGTGAAAATTCATCATTCATTATGATTAAAATATAATCAGTGTAAGCCTGAAAATAGTTTTTTAAAGGGAAGGGCAAGGCAGTTGAGAACAGGTGAAAAACAGTCTATCGTGGTAGCTAATGGCTTGAAATCTGGGCTCAGCTTTCCTCGATCCAAATCCAGCTCCCCAAATTACTGTGGCCTTGAGCAAGTTATTTGAACTTTCCTGATTTTTCAAACACCTTTTTATTGATTTTTCCACTTGAATTCTTAACCCTTTCCTGCTCCCCTCCTGCAAAGTAAGAGTAACAACATAAGTGGGCTGGTATGAAGATTAGTAGATAATTTAGTAGAATGCTAAGCACAGGGCATAACACTTTGTAGGCACCCAAATGGAAAACAGGTTCTGTGTGATCTCACAGGAAGAACACACAGAAGAGGGGAGGGAGGCAAACCACATTTCATGCTTGGGACGACTATCTCAGAGCTGGATTATCAGTGAGTACTTTTCCGTCAGGCAGAATCATGCCCAAATACTTTACTTATATTCCAGATTTTCCTCTAAGAAAATGGACAGTGTGTGAATATTCTTTTTATGAGCAATCATTTCCTTGTTTTTTTTTTTTTAACACTGGTCAAAATTTATTGCACAAAGTGCCTTTTGGTTTTAAAAAAAATTTAAAGATTATGCTAATAGGATTGTCAGAAAACACTCATCATTAAGCTAAAATGACCTCATAAAACTTCTGTTTATGTGCTAACAGACAGTAGTTCATGTGAAGATAGTTGTCTGACAGAATCATACTTTTCTTTCAAATGTCTGTTCCAAAATAGTAATATCAAAAGCTTCTGACTTTTCCCTTTCACCCAATATCCTTCTTCCTATGCAGAGTAATCTGGGTATGATAAAGAGTTGATAGGTAGACCTGCCTCTTCTCCACAATAAATATTCAGCAAATATATGTAGAAAAGACACCCTTTCTGAAATTTTAGTTCTCATTGCTTACCAATATTTATCTTTTTAAGAGTGATAATTTCATTTAAGACTACATAAATATTAAAACGCTTTAAAGATCCTGAGGCCAAAAGGATTAAAGAAAGACAGGTTGAAATTTTAAGTGTACATTTCCTTCTACCAAAATGAGTCATCACTTTTCCGTAAGAGAGGGCTGTGCCTTTGCAGCTTAAGGCATTCTTTTACCCTGATTTCTCATTTGAATCTCCTTGCTCTTTTAACTCTAAAAAAATCAAATCAAGGTTTGCCTCTTCGTTTAGTTTGGCAACCTCTTCCTCCCCTGTCTTATGGCATCTGCTTGCTTAAATGGTAAAGAGGTCTTAATCCATAGCTTCATAGGTTGAGATCTGAATCTGACTGGGAGTGTGCTATGTTACCTTTCAGTCACCAATTTCTTTATCTGTGAGGTGGGCGTGAGAAATACATGCCTCAGGTCTCCCTGGTAGAGCAGTGGTTAAGGTCTCAGCACTATCAAGTTATCACTGGCCACTGCAGTTTGAAGCCTCCTTCGCAAGATGGGGGGAGGAGGGGAGGACCCCAAGTCGCCTTGGTGCCTCTGAGTACATGGTTTGGCTTCTGCTCATAGAAAACAACAGGCACTGCCCCAGTTGTCCAGCTGAGTTCCAACTTCAGTGCAAACTCAAGGATTCAGAGCTCACCAGTCCGGATAATCATGTTAACTTACCTTATAAAAATTAATATCCTTGGCCCTCCCTGGTGGCGCAGCGGGTTAAAGCACAGCACTGAGAAGCTAAAGCCACTTCTGCATGAGTTCAATTCCCGCCTGCCCCGGAGAAGACCACATGGCGTGGCAGACCTCTCCTGACCCACCCGCTGCTCCCCTCAGCAGTGTACTTCGTCGATCTGCCTGTTCTGCTCCCCACTCTGTCTCTGGTGAAGCCTCTCGCCGGTCCTGAGCCTCTGGCCTGTACCCCAGTTCTGTATGCATAAATAAATAAATCTTTAAAAAAATTAATATCCTAGGGGTAGGGGTGCTCCCTGGTGGCTTAAGGGTTAAGTTTCAGTGTTATGCTATAGGGGCTCTTCAATCCTGGCCAGGGAGCTGACCCACATGGTACAGCAGACAGACCTCTGTTGTCTCCTCTGCTGCCCCAACCGGCCACCCAACAATGTACTTCATCAATCTGCCTGTTCTGTGCCCCACTCTGTCTCCGGTGAATCCTCTCACACCCCCACCCTGCACCTCTGGCCTATACCCCAGTTCTTGTATGCATAAATACATAAAAATAAATCTTAAAAAAAAAAAAACTCTCACAAGGTTACCATGGGACTAAAGGAGAATAACAGCTAAGTGACTGGGCTTAGCAGGCAACATAACCACATGTCCTGCTCTTCCTGAAAGTCTCTTTCAAGGGTGTTTCCTTTCAAAGGCCTTTCCTTTCCTATCCCAAAGCCCTTGGTGTCATTCCTGTCTTTCCTCCTCACACTAAAAAGACAAAGTTCTCCTGAACTTTGTTTTTTGTTTGTTTGTTTGTTTGGGTTTTTTTTGTTTTGTGTTGTTTTTTATGTAGAAGACCATTTGAGCTCCAGCTTAACATTCACACGTACTTCCCAGGGGGACTGGAAAGGCAGTTCACTCGGTTTGGGACGCCTGCCTTTTGAGTAGCACCCGGGGAGGGGTTCTTGCTCGGGCCAGAGGGATCCCCTCGCATTCTTCCTGCCCTTGAAGTCACGGTCAGGTTCTGCCCATCTCCTCTCAGACCCGCATTGATTGAGCTGATCAGTCTGTCTGAATCGAATTCGGAAAGAACCAGCACTTAGACTCTCGAGATCCCAGTACCAGCCCGCACCGCTCTGCAAAGGAAAGTGAAGGCAGAGGAGTAGCGATGAGCCGCCACAGGTAATGCGAGACCGCGCAGGTGGAGAAGGAACTGTCCTGTCCCAGCCGAGCTCGAAAGCTCGCCTCCCTCGCGGCTCGAACAGCGCGGCCAGATCCTGCGGAGCAAGCCTGGCGCGCGGTGCAGTGGCAGGGCGAGCCCAGGCGACCGCTTTCCTGACGACCCCCGACCCGCACCTCGCTCCCACCGCGCTCCGCACGCTGCGCTCCGAGACGCCCGCGCGGCAACTACCTGTGGAAGTAATGTGCGCAGAAGAGACCCAGAAGTACATTGGCCGGCCGGCCGAGGACAGCGCGGGGCTGCTGGGCGAGGATCCCCACAGACACCGCAAAAGAGGGCAGCTCCTGTAGTAACCAGGCGGCACGCGCCGGCAGGCGGGGACCAGCGGGCGCCAGGCTCTCCAAGTGCTTCCCGTAGGCGGAGGGGCGTGCGGCGTACAGGAAAAAGACCCCCAGAGAGGCCAAAACGGCGCTACCTGCCAGCACAGGGACCTGCTGGCAATCAAGTGACATCGTGCCGAGGTCCTCAACAGTGGCCGCCAGCCCTCTCAGAGGAGAGCACGGGCCCACAGCCCCTTTATGGCGCGCAAGACGCCACCCCGTGTCCGCCCCTTGGCCTCGGCTCCCGCCCCTCCGCCGGCCTCCCACCTCTGCACCGTTGGAGTCCGGCTCTGCTCGGATGCAATGCCCCATTTGTAAGACTGACGCTTCCCAACTCAAGCTGGGTGGACAGAAGAAGGCTTTCCGGGGACCCAAAAGTGTCCTGGGTCCCGGGACCTTCAACTGGCCCATTTCGACCTGCGCCCCTTAGCCCTCCAGCTCCCCCTACCCAGTATCCTCTTGGTCTGCCCATCTATGATTTGTTCTTCACACGTCAACCTCTAATGCTGCAACGTACTAGACTAGGGAATAAGGAAAAGAAATAGAGTCCGTGGGACTGTTCTCCGCTCCCAGCAGCCCCTCAGTGTGCCTCAAGCAGCCTCCAACCTCGACACCCTAACTATATGGGCCCCCACCCTGTTGTCCCTGTGCTCCTTCATAATCTGCCAGCTCCCACCTAACCCTGCATTCTTCCTTGACCCTGAGTCAGACCCAAGCACTCTGGGGATCCTCTAAGGTTTCTTTCTGGCCCCTGCCTGGGTGAAGGAAGGGCACCCACAGCCACTTCCCAGCATCACAGCACAGATTGTGGCCAACAGTCATAATCCTGTCCCCCTCCCTAGCCTGTCTTCCACCCTCCGTCCCTGGAGCTGACCCAGACTCCGGCCACCAGGGAATGCTTCTGGCACCCATTGGGGAATGCCTCTGGCACGAAGAGCTCTTTCTGAGCTCCAGCAGATGAGCGGGATCCACTCACAACCCAGTGGTGGTGGTGATGCTCCCGCGGTGGTGATGTTCCCAGGACTTGCACACCCAGGCGCCATTCTTTCTCCCTTTGCCATCCCCCTTTCATCCTCCGTACACTTGTCCTTCCGCCTCCTCCATTTCCTATTTGCCTTCCTTTTCTCTGAGTCAAGCCAGTTTTCTGTTCCTTTTCCTCTCTCCTTTCATCCTTTGACCTGGCTTCATCCTCCAGTCTCACCTCTGTTGACCTCACTCTTCCCTCTTCTTGTCTCATCTTCTTTGCTATATGATCACTAATAATCCCCCCCACCGCCCTACTTCTGGTTCCACCCATCTTTCTCCTTTTCTCCCTCACCTTTATTGCACTTTTTTGCTCCTTTCCCTTAGTGCTAATTCGCTACCTCTCAGGAGTCTCGCTTAGTATCTCCCCGTTCACTCTTGGCTTGTCTTAAAGCTGTCCCAGGGAAAGGCACACACTGTCTCATCACACACAGTTTGTGATATAATGTGATGTTTTACATTTACAGGGCTCTTCAATTTACTGACCAAAAGATATTTATCATCTTACTACTGGATTAAATAGCAATCATGCTACAGTTTTTACCTGACCACCACATAGGAACTGATCACCCACATAGACTGAAGCACTGCTCATGGAGCACTTTCCCGGGGTCAGCTCTCACAGCTCTTTCTGGCTCTCTCTGCACTAGCTTTAGAGTATAGATCCAGTCCCAGTCTCCCCAGACCGCCTCCTATTTGAGAACAGCCAAATCCAGATTTCCAGCACAGGCTGGTGCTCTGGTCTGCACTTCCTCCCTACTAGACAACTCCATTTAGATGTGTTTTCCAAGACTTCAAACTCAACATTACTTGAAACTGAACCCACTTATCCTTCCCTTCAAACCCTATCCACATCCAGAACCTCTTTCTGCCTTCCTAGTTGTTACGACTTCTCTATCTATAGCTTCCCAGGAAGTCTAATTTATAATCTCTGGAAACTGGAGGTTTCTTGATGCCATAACTACACTGGGAAAATGAGCAATGTAACATTTCAAACCCAACTCGATGAAATAGCCTTTTAAGTGAAGTATTTCCTGTTTCAATTCCTTCCTCATCTTTCTCCTATCTTTGCCCAATTTTTGTCCCTTGTTGTCTTTTTAACCATAACTGTATCAGTCAGCTTTGGTTGTATAACAAACTACCCTACAAATCAGTAATTTAATAAAATCAGTTATCTTCAGTTTAAGAATCTAAGTCAGTTGGGGGTCAGCTGATCTAGGTTGGGTTTGGATAATCTTGACTCATTCTTCTATAGCACATAGGAGAGCCTTTCTCCAGGTGAGCTTTGGATGGGAAAGCTTGCCTGAGGCAGCTCTATTCCACAAGGCTCTCTCCCTAAGTGAGCTAGCCAGTATATCCATATAATCTCAGTAACAGAACCACAAGAGTACACGAAACACACAACTCTTCTTAAGGCACCAGCCAACATGTAGTATACTATTACTTCTTATTCCATCTGTTTGCAAAGTCATGGGGTAGATTCCAGAATCAGAGTGGAACAGCTTCACAAAGTTACAAACTACAGGGAGAGAGGAGAGGTAGAGAACTGGGATGGATGATGTAACTGTTTGGTATTACAGATATAGAGAAAGTGTGCAAATTATAAACATGTCCCTTGGGTGATTTAAACAAACTAAACATATTCCCATAAATAGCACCTAGTTCAAGATACAGATTACTAGCAAACCAGAAGTTCCCTTTATACTTCTGTATATCTCCTCCCAGAATAGTCTCTACCCTGACTTCTATACCATAATTAGTTATACCTGTTTTGAAACATATAAACATAATCATGCAGTATTTTACGCTCCATATATATTTTAATGGTATCCAAGATTTATTCTAATTGGGTCTGGTAAGACATGCAGACACAGAAAGTTAAAAAAGTTTCTACTTACAGATCCCTAGAAACAGGGGCATTATGCAAAAAGGAAAACTAGAATCAGCAGGAGGAAGATTGAAAGACAAGGACTTTTATTGTGGTTCCAATAGGATGAGACAGGTAAGGAGGCTTGCACTGGCTAGTCTGAATAATTTCAGTGGCCTCTTGGGGTAGGGGCTATCTCAGCTGGCTGGTATATGGCTCTGGAGCTATTAGGGAAGGAGAAGGATGGCCCAGAGTTTAAGGGAATTATGAAAGAGATCGCTGGAATACAGCTGGTGTGTGTATGTATGAGAGAGAGAGAGAGAAAAGGGGAGAGGATAGAAGGGAGGGGCAGAGAGAGAGACTGAGACCAATTCACCTAAGAAACCCAGCAGTGATCCCAGAAGGTGATAAGTGGTATAAATTACATAGTATTCTTAGTGAGGGCTATCTCCTTATCAAAATGTTAATTCAACTCCCAAAGGAATCGAAATGATTCACAAGTAGCTTAACAAAGCCCAACCTTTAAAGTAATGTAGTTAAATCCAGGCAAGAAACAATGTAGCCACCACAATCTGCTGTGTCTCCCAAAGTACTAGACATAGTGCACCAGCTTAGATACCAACTCCTAGAGTTGTGCCAGATTTCACAGGTTTAGGACACAATTCTTCACAAGACTACTCACTTCAAATACCAACGAATTCAGGGGCCTCCACATACATGCCTGAATAAAGACTACAAGTTTCAAGGGGTTCCCACAAGGGGCTCTTCAAGCTCAGCAACTCACTAGAACAACATACAGAACTCAGGCAAGCACTATCATTATGAGGATATATATTATGATGACAGCAAAAAAAAGATACAAATCAGAACTAACCCCCCCAAAAGATGCATGAGTTATCTTTGAGCAAAGATAATTCTTTACTACACAGAGGCCATGAAGCAGGATAATATGACACATATCCAATAGAAAAGCCAATCAGGGCCCTCCCTGGTGGAGCAGCGGGTTAAAGCACAGCACAAAAAAGCTTAAGCCACTTCTGCATGAGTTTATACCCGCTTGCTCTGGAGGAGATCCACATCGCGAGGCAGACCTCTCCTGGCCCGCCTGCTGCTCCCCTCAGCAGTGTACTTCTTCAATCTTGGGAGCACGGGGTGGGGGAAAGAGCACAAGAGACTATGGTGATGGTACATGGGTGAACTGATGGTGGGAATTTCTTGGGAACTACACACGTGATGATAAAGCATACATTGTATAAAAATGAAGAATGATGTAAAAAATATATAAAATATTAAAATTTTTAATGTGATTATTTCATCAATAAATAAATTTCCCTTTTTTTTTAGAAGGGCACCAATTGTATTAGATTAAGTCCCTCCCAAGTACAATATAAGCTCATACCTAATTATATTTTCCATGACTCTATTTCCAAATAAGACCACGTTCTTAGATATTTGGGGTTATAACTTCAACATAGAAATTTGGGGAAGGTACAATTCAACCTATAATAATAATTAATCCCCATAAATGATTAAAAAAAGCATGTTTTCAGTGCATGAAATCAGAGCATAAAAATGAGAAACTGGGCCCTCCCTGGTGGCGAAGCAGGTTAAAGCACAACTCTAAGAAGCTAAAACCACTTCAGCATGAGTTCGATCCCTGCCTGCCCCGGAGGTGACCCACATGGTGTGGCAGACCTCTCCTGACCTGCCCGCTGCTCCCCTCTGCAGTGTACTTCGTCAGTCAGCCTGTTCTGCTTCCCTCTCTGTCTCTGTGAATCCTCTCACTGCCCTTACACCTCTAGCCTGTACCCCAGCTCTGTATGCATAAATAAATCTTTTAAAAATAATGAGAAATCTCAGCAGAGATACTGACATGATTTTTAAGGTACAGAAATTATAAAGCCAAAATTTTAACTTGTGAAGTAAAAAAATATGGAATAGAGATGATGGACAAAAGACTAGTAAAGACAGATTATGGGGGGAAGCCTCAATGAGCTTCAAAATGAAATGAAACAACCAAATATGTGATTTGAAATATTAGAAGAGACACAGACTTAAAGTATGCAAAGAAATAATTAAAACGTTCTTAAATATGACAAAAGGCAGACATTTGCAGATCCAAGTTATGGGATGAACAAAATGCAGAAAGGAGCAAAAAGCTCAAACTGAAGTAAAAATATTTAAGTTACTAATGATCAAAGACAAAGAACAAATCTTAAAAACAGTAATAGAAAGCAACATC